CCTTTGCCTGTGGAAGTCAGAAGAGGGCATTGGATTCCATGACTCCTGGAACCGGAGTTATGGCGGTTATGAGTTGCCATGTGGAACTGATCCCTGGTCTTACCTACTAAGACATATTAATTATTTTCCACCTAATAACTTTCTCTTTTCAGATGTCCTAGTGATGTAGCTCCATTTTCTTTTGTTTGGTTTTTGGTTTTGCTTCTGTTCTTTGAGACTGTGCCCTACTGTAATACCAGCTGATTTGGAGCTCCCTGTACAGTCCAGACCCAGTGTTCTCAGACTGTGCCCTCCTCTGTAACACTAGCTGATTTGGAGCTTCCTGTATAGACCAGACCAGGCTGTCCCCAGACTTGGATTTCTTTTCCTGCTTCTCCATGTTGGATCAAAAGTGTGTACTACAACGCCTGGCCTGTTTCATCTTCCTTGATTAGAGACTCTGTGTCAGCCATTTTTCTCATTGGCTCATCATTTTTAGTGACACAACCCCCTGAAACTGTTCATTTTAAATGGATTTGATAAAGCCATACATATTGTTACATATTTACGAAGTTTATTTTATTTAACTAGAAGTCTTTTCTGAGTTAGAAGTATTTCTAAACTTCCTTTTTTTTTCACTTAGGAGCAAAATAAGTGAACTTACAACTGAAATTAATAAACTTCAGAAAGAAATAGAAATGTACAACCAAGAAAATTCAGTGTATTTGTCATATGAAAAGAGGTGAGTAATTTTACAATTAAGACATGCAAGATCTTTATTAGGAATTTATCCCACTGAATATCAATTCAGTATTTATTCAGTATCATGAACATAATTTATTAAATATGACACCATCCATAAGGTTCTTTATATTGATCTGCTTATGTATTTATGAATGCATTTGCTTTTGTTTGTAGGGCAGAGACATTAGCTGTTGAAATTAAAGACTTTCAAGGACAACTAGCAGACTACAACATGGTATTGTCTCTTTCCTCAGAGAATTTCTCCTGATGTTTGTTTTTGTGCTCTTGACACTTAAAAATACATTTTAAATACCAAGTAATACACAACTATATATATATATTTCTTGTGAAAAAGTTGGAAGTATAAAAATACAAAAATTAAATTGCTCTTTTCATTTCTTCTTCATTTCCTAACCCAGAAATAACTTGGCTTAACAGATTGATAGGAATTCTTCCAATTTTGTTTGCATTAGAAAAAATATTTATTTTACCTACTGTTTATTTATTTGTAATTTTGTGTGTGTGTGTGTGTGTGTGTGTGTGCGCACGCGCGCACGTGCAGGTACATTCATGGAAGTCAGATGACAACTTGTGTAAGTTACTTCTTTTCTACCATATGGGTCCGCCAAGAATCAAATACAGGCCACCAGCCTTGGTAGAAGCTTTACCTGCTGAGCCATATTGCTAGCCTCATTTTTTTTAAAGACACTTATAAATCACACAAAAGCTTTTCTCCCCTACAAATGTTTGAATAATATTTTTTTAAAGCATTACAATTTATTAGGTAAGAATGATTCCATTGCTTTAAAAAAACACCTTTACCTTGCTATGGAGCATTGTCATCATGAAATTTAAATTCTTTACCTAGCATACAGATTACCTCCATCTGAGTGTTCAATTTTGTGTGCACTCTGTCAAAATAGAGTACACTCATAAAAATAGTTCCACTGAGGATGTTTCCCAGTGCAGACTATCACCTTGTCAATGCTGTTAACTCCTTGTCCTTGGAGTAATGCTACCTCCAGGAAGTTTCTAGCATCAGAATTTCTTTCTAATTTCTGAGGCACATTAAACAATTATGGCATGACTAGCTTTTGTCTCCGCTGTTGATTAGGTAAATTATGATATAACTAGTTAATATTAATACTTACCAGTCAAATTTTGCTAATTAGAGTATTTTGTAGTTCTTAAATTTTCTGAGCACATGCTCTATAAAAACACCTTGAGACCAATATTAATTAGAATTTTTTTTAGTAAGTGTTGTTTTCTATTGTTTATTGTTTTAAAGATTTTGCTTTACTTCTAATTATGTGTATATGTGTATGCACATGAGTGCCATTACCCGCAGAGGCCCAAAGGAAATGATAATATTGATTCCCTGGAGACAGTTAGACGCACTTAAAGCTGCTTGGTGTGGGTGCTAGGACCTGAACTCACATCCTCTGTAAGAGCAGGACATTCTCTGACTTAAGAACTAGATTTACTAGTGTTCTATTTTATAAAATAAATTTATGGGAAATAAAATTGTTTTGCCTTTTCACTACTATAAATTTCTAAAACAGTTAATGTTTCCAGGAGGAGAAAAATTCAAGTGGCAGATAATTTCCAACGCTGCTTTTTTCTGTTTCAGACCTTTATAAACTTGGTCATTTCAAAGCAGAGAAAACTCTTCAGTGTTCTTAAAGGAACAGTAATTCATCACTTCTTATTTACTGGCCAAATGAAGAGTATGTTAGGTTTTCAATATTGTTTTTTAATGTGGCTCGCTTTTTTTTTTTTTTTGGAAAGTAAGACACTTGATAGTATTAACACTGAAATGACTAGCTATTTATGAAAATAGGTATGTATATTAAAACTTACCTAAAATTTATTAAGGCTAACCAAATGGTGCTTTTTTTTGTTATATTTTTGCTTTTAGTTGGTAGATAAACTCAATACCAATACTGAAATGGAAGAAGTTATGAATGATTACAACATGGTAAGAAAATACACAAATATAAGTAATAATTGTATATAAATCATATCCTCTAAAATAAAGCATTTATCTAGAAGTAATTTGGTAAAACCTTTTATGGCCATTAAAGGTGGTTATGACTCTGATCATAAGTATCACAATTATGATTAAGCACTTTTTATTGTTTTTTATATCCCTGTTGCTGTTGGAGTAAATATTTTAACATCTGTCAATAAAGCTAGGGAAGAACCATCTATATTGATTGGATATATATTAATAATATTTTGGTTCATAATTTCTTTTTTTAAAAAAATGTTTCCTTATGTTTTAATTTTTTTACAAATGGAATTAAAATTCAATGGAAATAATATCTTTAAAAGTTTTCTTATAGTTTTTTTTTAAGTTAATTAAAGTGTGGGGATGTTTTATCTGCCTATATGTCTATGCCCTGAGCCCTCAGAGGCCAGAGAAGGCATCAAATTGCCTGGGACAAGAGTAACAGATGACTTTGAGCCTCCACATGGTTGCTAGAAAATGAACACAAGTCTTCTGGAAGAACAGCAAGTGTTCTTAACTGCTGAGCTACCTCTCCAGCACCTCAAACTCTGCCTACCTCTGCTTCTTAAGTGCTGGGATTAATGGCATGCCCCACATCATCCTGGCTATAAAAAATCCAGGATTTTTAAAATGAGTTCTAAATTTGGGGTTCTACAATAATTAAATTATTTTTAGTTTTACAAACTTAGAAATAAATTTTATTGCTAGAAATAAATATAGGAAACTTTGAAAATTATTTGTCAAATATAATAATGAAATATTTGGAAGAGAAATATAATTCCTCTGTTAGTTAGAAACCAAGGAGTATCTTTCCCCACCTATCATTAATACTTCTCTATATAACTTTCTCAAATATGGCAGCCTCTTCCTTATACAAAGAATACCAAACTCTTGAAATGTTTTCTTGCTTCCTTTCCTCCCTTTTCCTTCGTTCTTTGAAACTATTGAGCAAATTTATGCCATTTACTTACTGTTTACAAGATTCTCTTTTAAGTACTAGAAAAAGTATATGCAAACATATAAGTTTGTAGCTCTGAATGCTTCATAGAATTTAAAACCTATGTGTCCCTATGTCGTTATCTCAGAAGTTATGCTAATACCCAAATTGTATGTATAAATTTTACAGTTATATGATTTAAAAGTATATATTCTAGAAATAAAAAAATAAAAGATTTGAAAAGTATTTGGTCACTAGCTTAATCTTGACTATGTATTTAGAGGAACTAAGGAAGGCCATACATCTTGACAACATATGGAAAAAGCTCCCACTTTTGCCATCATTTAGTGTGGTTTGATTCTCTGGTTTATTATGGAAAAGCTGTCTACTATAAGCTGGTTGTAGGTATAGGAAACTTTGAAAATTATTTGTTTTTTTATTTGGGGTGGATCCAGATTCAGGTCTGTGTACATAACAGTCATCTAGGAGTACTTACGAAATCGTGAAAGATTTAAGAACAAAATTATGTTGATTCTAAATTCAGCATATAACTAATCAAGTATTTATTGAACATAGTGTGTTTTTGAAATGGTTTTTACATAAATTAGTTTTAATTATTGGACAGATCACTAAAGAAAAATGAATTATTTTGATGAGAACTTACGCCAATATAAAGGACTAAGTTAACTGGTAGTGTTCTTTGTTAGATGAAAGATGCATTTTTCTTCTAATTTTTGTATTTGGTATTATTATAATAATTTCATGTAGTTCATAACTAGAGTAACCTTTCCAAAGAGAGTTTGGTTTGATGGTTATCTTTTTTAATGACTAACTTCTATGTTAACTGTTTGCGCAGCTTAAAGCTCAAAATGATCGTGAAACACAGAGTATGGATGTCATATTTACTGAAAGACAAGCGTAAGTTCAGATTCATAAATGAGTTTTGGTTGATGGTTTAACTTGTGAGTCATTTATTTCCTTATAAAATTTAACTTTTTCTTAATTTGCTCTTAATTAATTAATTGTTGGATTCTTATGAAGCAACATCTTAATTGTAGTGTAGGCTACCTCAAGCTGACAAGAATCTTTCTGGCTCAGCCTCCTGAGTGCTGGGACTACAGATAAAATTCACACCTGGGCTGAGCGTGTTAGTGCACAACTTTAATCCCAGAACTTGGGAGGTAGAGGCAGGTGAATCTTGTAAGAGTTCAAGGCCAGCCCGGTCTACAGAGTGAGTTCCAGGACAGCCAGAGCTGTTTCACAGAGAAACTTCATTTCAATAAAGCAAAGCAAATCAAAACAAACAAACAAAAAGAACCACAACTGGCATCTTACTGACCTGTTACAAGCATATATTTGTAATAGAAAATGTGTCATTTTTTTCTTGATTTAACATAACATCTCAATACAAAATCTATTTTAATGTCAAGGAACGGAATAGTATACAAAAGAAAGAACTACCCAATTGTATAAATATGATTTCTGTTTCCAACAACTTAAACTGTAAGGTGAATTATGTCTTTATGTCTACTCTTAGAGTTTGACTGAGACTTTTAACTAATTTTGACATTTTAGTTCTACTTTAATGAAAGCAGTTATTAGTCAGTAGGCTTTGTACATTAACTGACATTATGGTAATTATATTCTCTATGATAATATAATTCTCACAATATATAATACTCTATGCTGCCTATAGATTATATGTGAATTTATACATAACTTATTTATAAAGACTAAATATGAACTAGTTTTGATTTCCATAATAAAATGTAACAGTAATCCCTACAAAGATAATAAATGTGAATTAAAATAATTTTTTAAAATTAGTTTTGACCAGTATCAAATACTTCAGCATATGGTAAGGTAAATATAAAAGTTGAGCTATGGTGTATAAACATATGTATAGCATTCTGTTCCAGAAGCTTACTACTGTTAATTTGTTTGAGAGCAAGGTTAGTTATTAACCAAAATTACTGAAGTTTATTAACACTAAATACACTCCCATGTTACTTCTGCAGTAAACAACCTGATGAAGAAAGTATATGCAAACATATAAGTTTGTAGCTCTGAATGCTTCATAGAATTTAAAACCTTTGTGTCCCTATGTCGTTATCTCAGAAGTTATGCTAATACCCAAATTGTATATATAAATTTTACAGTTATATGATTTAAAAGTATATATTCTAGAAATAAAAAAATAAAAGATTTGAAAAGTATTTGGTCACTAGCTTAATCTTGACTATGTATTTAGAGGAACTAAGGAAGGCCATACATCTTGACAACATATGGAAAAAGCTCCCACTTTTGCCATCATTTAGTGTGGTTTGATTCTCTGATTTATTATGGAAAAGCTGTCTACTATAAGCTGGTTGTAGGTATAGCATCAGCAAATGATTGCAACAATGTTTACATAGTAAATATATGATTTTGAGTTATCTTTCTAGTTTCGCATTAGTCAAAATTGTCCTTTAAAAGCATATTAGTCACAATTTTATGTTCATTTATTCCTCCTCAGTCAGATATTTACTAACTACCCAATAATAAAATGTTGGATGTAAGAGATCAGGTATAATCTGGGCTTATTTATAATTTTATACTATTTCCCAAAAATTAATCTTTAGATCTTCTAAGCAGGAAATGTTATTTAAGTAGAGTGATAGATTATTTAGGAAAAGATGCTTTATGTTTTAAAATTGATACTTAAATAATTTATAATTCATAAGATTAGATATGTTTATATTCTTTGTGTTACTATAAATATAATAAAATATGTATTAACACAAATAAGTCATTTGGTTCAAGGGATATATTTTATTTTCCATCTGTGAACATTCCAATTGAATGTACTATTTATATAACCTTTAAAAATTTTTAAATTTATTATTGTGTGTGTGTGTATGTATGTATATGTGTGTTGGTACACTTGTAACATAGTGTACATGTGGAGCTCAGAGGACAACTTGATTCTCTCTGTCCATCATGTTGGTCTGGGGATTGAACTCAGATTGTCAGGCTTTGGTGCATGGACGTTGAATTGCTGAGCTATCTTATCGGCACTGTTTATATAACCGATCTACATTACTAGTCTTTTGTAAGATGTTATCATGTACATTTTTGGAATATCTTTATTAACTAGAAATTGGAACATCAGAATCGGAGCATTGTATGCCCATGTATCTAATTCCAAGTTTTGTCAGCACATTTCCAGCTGTGCTCCGTCTTCAAGTCTAGTCACTGTGCTCTTCTGTGTATGCGGATGATGAAAATCATAGAAAATATGTTACATATTTCATCCACAAGTAAAGTTCAAAAGTTCAGTGTTTTGCCATAGCCTTATCTCTAAAATAATCAGATAAATACATTGAGTTTCCCACATATAGAATGGTAAATCACAGACTTTGCTAATTTTTGGTTGCACTCTTTAAACTGGTAAGTGGTTCAAATTATATTTGCAGCTAATCCATTATACGAGGATTGGTAACCATTTTGCTTTAGATAGACCCTTTCTATTTAGGGCTAGTGTTTCCAGAATATGTCCTTTGGTCTTTTAATGTGCTGTGAGCTTTTAGCTATTTTTCCAAGGAAGGGTTTGATTGTCAAGTAAATTTTAAAGTTTCTTTGTGGTATGTGTGTGTGTGTACATATGTATGTATATGTGGGAGTAAAAACCCAGGGTCTTCCACATGCTATGTAAATGCTCTTCAAAACTCAGAGAACACCTCAGTTTAGTAAAATCTATATCAATACTAAAGGAAAGATTCTTAGTTCACCTTGTTTAAATTTAGATTCTTTTGGTAAGTTGACTAGGTACCTTTTTCTTTTTCTGTAGATGCTTGTCAGTGTCATTGTGGAAAATCAGTGTTTTAGAAAACAATTTGGTTTTTTTAAATTTTTTTGGTTTTTCGAGACAGGGTTTCTCTGTAGCTTTGGAGCCTGTCCCGGAACTAGCTCTTGGAGGCCAGCTTCCCAGAGATCTGCCTGCCTCTGCCTCCCGAGTGCTGGTATTAAAGGCGTGCGCCACCACCGCCCGGCTAGAAAACAATTTGGGAAGCATTGCTCTGTTTATTGAAACACAAACAGATATGTGTAGATTACCTAAGTATTCCTCAGTTCTAGCTCACAATGATTTGAAAAATAATCTCCCAAAAGAGATACAGAAATGTGTGTTTTAAAAGAAAGTTCATGAGTAGTTGTGATGGCCAGTTTAGAAGCCATTGCAATATTGAGTATAGCAATTGTATGTGGAACCCTTCCTAAAAATCACTGTCAAAATCAGTAGCGATTATTAGGGATTATTCCTAAACATTGTGCCTGTGCTTTAAATTGCTGCCAGTTTTTAAGGAAACTGTTTTTTTAGGTTCAGGCAGCATTAAAAAATAGTCTCCATTCAGTGGATTCATTTGTGAGCATTAGACTAATTTCTGTAGTCAAAGATCCTCACTTTGATGATATAAATCTAAATTTTATATTCCTTTATTGGTTAAAATTTTAGTATAATCTCAGACATTGCAACACATGCATTTGTTAATACCAGCATCTGTTCATTTTAGTTAGTAAATAATCATTCTTGGGCTTTGTTTTTACCAGTTTGTGGTTTTCCGAATACTCCTGACACTAGTAAGTGGTGGTGGTGTAGATAAATTATTCAGCCTTTAGCTAACCAGAGTATAAGTTACTGCATTTGGACTTGCTTATGCAATACAGCAAAAAAAATTGTATGATATTTACATAAGGTACTGATTAATATGACGGTCTGCTTGTTAAAGTTTTTTTGCAAATAAAAATCTTTTTGTCTAAGCTATAAGTAGACTAAAAATATTTTTTCAAATTTTCAACATGATAAATTATTTTTCTTCTTGTACCTCATTGATATCTATATATCTGTCTTCAATAAAACCATCATCATTCTCCACAAATGAATGCAGTTGTTCGAATATTACTGTAATGTCTTCAGAGTTTGTATCTGTTATTTGTGAAAGGGAGCTTGGGTTTCTAGTAAGGCCATTGTCGTAGGTTTCTGCTTCATGCTCTTCCAGGCGATGATGATTGTAACTAAGCAGAATATTATACCATATTGGACACTTGATAGCAATAAAGATGAGGAGTGACGTTAGCAGTACAGTGATGACAACACCAACAAGGAGAGCCCAGCTTTTTCCAAGAGGTTCATGTTCTTAAATAAAAGAGAGAGAGAGATTTTGTTGACAAAAGTCGAACAGTGTTAGAAAGGAACATACTTTACAGTTTTCTTTTAATTAAAATTACTAATACACTAAAGAAAACTATGGTCAAAGAACATTGTTTTCAGAATGGCTAAAGGTTGAGAAATCCTAGTTTAAAAATTCAAGATGCTCAAAAATCTAAAACTAACTCATTGAGCACTAATGTGATTTCACAGGTGGAAATTCCATAACAGTCCTCAAGGGACAGGCCACCGTAAAAACGCAGATGCCCCAAAATACTGTCTAAAATTATCTTCAGACCACATGCATGTGGTATTTTTGACACATAAATGAATTTTGCATATAGACTTGTATATCCTCTCATGTTTTATGCAGTAGCCCATACTAAAAACCAGGTATTGTTACATGAAACCATTAACATACTTGTGAAGTGTGGTGTCTTGAGTAGTAAAATAGTTAGCTAATACACAGTTTCATGTGAATGATATATAGTAGAGCCTCAGTTGGAATTCCAGTATTTTGCAAAGCTTCATTGAGATGAATTGTTCTTTTACATTGTTCATAGAAGCTCAAAATAGTGAAAGACAAGGAGAGCTGTGTGGTTAGTCTGACACATTCAGCAATAGTAGTGCTCAAAACCAGTACATTACCTGAGTTCCGTGTTAAATTTTTTAAAGAGCTATTAGAAGTTGAATTCCCAATGGATGGAAAATCAATATACAGATCTTCAGTTATAGTGGAAATAAATTTAGAGTGGCATTCAGCAGTGAATGGTACTGACTTAATGCTGTAGTGCTTTAGGTCATCTGGGTAGCTACACGTGGTGATGTTCTCATTTTCTGGTAAAGAAGTAAATTAAGATGTATTATTGACAATAGAAGCGGCTCATAACATAATGTTGATATAGAAGTTTTGATAAGTCAGGCTTCATAGATAATAAGAAGGACTGGAAAGGTATCTCATAGTTAAAGTACTTGCTACTCTTGCAGAGAATCAGTGTTTAATTTCCAGCTTTCACGTGGTTGTGCATGACCATCCTAACTCTAGTTCTGGGGGATCCAGTGCCTTCCTCTGACTTTTGCAGGTACCAGGTACACACATGATGCACATAACACTTAGGCAGAACACTTAAACACAAAATATAAAATAAATGAAACAAAAAAATTTATTATAAGAAAAGAACTCTAGATGAGTTTGTATGACAACATGAGTGTTGATGCATATTCCTGTTATATAGGTTAATTGAAGTTTTGTAGTTTGTATGTTAGAAGTTTTATGATTAAGATTATTGTTATAATCTGGATCCCAAGCAGAGTATGATGTGCGGTTAGCAAAATCAGACAACACCTTCAGTTCAAGCCCCTGTGCTGGAAAACAAATAACTAACCAACCAAAGGGACCTCTTTTTGTGTATTTTGTGGTACAGTATCCTAAAGAATAGACAGGAAGTACTTGAAGAAAAATTAATCTTTTCTTAAGCTAGGATCTCACTGTGTAATCCTGGCTTGCCTGGAACTCAAAAGAATTCTTTCTGCCTCTGCCTACCAAGCTTTGGAATTAAAGGTATGCACTACCACACCTGACACGTAAAAATAACATTACGTAATGACTCTGCATGTTTAATACTACTTGCACATACCATTGTTTAAATTATCACCCTCTGCCAGGTAGGCTAGCTCATGTCTGTTCTGCAGTTTCTTTCAGGTGGTGTTTTTGCTTTTTTTAATTTTTTGTTTTGTTTGGTTTGATATTGGTTTATTTTTAACTGTGCTAAAGATGAAGTTCAAGGCCTGAGTCTACCAATGAGCAGTACTTCCAGCCCAGCCGTTTTCTTTTATCTATTCCAATTCTGACATAAGCCATCAAAGTTCCGTCACATTGTCTTCTTGCTTACCTAATATCACATTAGACGTGTTCAGCCAGTTCTGCAGCTGGAGTAGACCACAGGTGCAGTTCCATGGATTTCCATCCAACGTTAGCAGCTCCAGATGGAACCGTTGTGGCACATCAAAGTGGTTTATCAAGTTGCCTTGCAGATTCAGAACTCTCAGGTTGAATAGAGGTACAAATGTATTGGGATTCAGTTGTAATATTTTGTTTTGGCAAAGATATAACTGTTTTACTTTATTTAAGCCAACAAATGAGCCCTGTTCAATTACACTGATGGAATTTCCACAGATGTTTAAAATTTCTAGATTGGAGAGATTACTGAAACTATTATTGTGTATGGCAGTAATGCTGTTCTCCATCAGGTAGAGCTCAGTAAGTAAAGAATACATCTGGAGCACCCTGATGTCTGAAGCATTCAGAGTGATCTGGTTAGAACTGAGATCAAGGATGGTAACACTGTTACTGATACCCTCTGGAATAAAGGAATAATTTCTTCTGGTGAAATTACATTTGACTTCCTAGAAAAGAAAAAAAAAATAGAAATGTTTTAATCAGGAAAAATTCTAACAGAAGAGATTAAAGTTAGCCGGGTGATGGTGACGCACACCTTTAATTCCAGCACTCAGGAGGCAGAGGGAGGAGTACCTTTGTGAGTTCGAGGCCAACCTGGTCTACAAGAGCTGGTTCCAGGACAGGTACCAAAGCTACAGAGAAACCCTGTCTCAAAATATCAAACAAACAAACAAACAAAAAAAAAAAACCAAAAAAAACCCCAAACAAGAAACATATCCAAGATGAGATATTGAATAAAAAAAATTCTGAGCCAGGCGGTGGTGGCGCACGCCTTTAAACCCTGTCTCAAAAAAAAAAAAAATTCTGGAAAAAAATGATACTTTAATCTGAAAAATAAAGAACAAACGTAGTTCTTTATGAAGATGAAATACTAAAGATTAAGGAATTCTGGTACAACCACCCAAGGAGAGTACTTTGTTCCATAGGTGTCTTCCACCTGTTACATGTATTACAGAAAGAGTATTTCTCTATTTCTTTTATAGAATTATAAAGGAAATAGCAGTTTTGTTGACTTACTTAATCAGGAATGTTGGCACATGCCTGTCATTCCTGCACTTGGGGAGATTGAGGCAGGATACTGATAAGTTCAAGGCCAACGATGCTTTTTTTTTTTTAAATTAAAACAGACTAAAACCTTATTTGAGGTTAGCATGCAAGATACATATATATGGGAAATTTGGAAGTTTGTGGAGATACCATCACATACCTAGAAATATTAGATAAATCAATGCCCAACAATCTCTGTTGGTATGACAGCACAACATTTTGATATTTTAAAAGTAAATAATTGTTTTCTATCAAATACAGAACCATGCTGGATGTGGTGATACACAGTTTTAAGCACAGGTAGAGGCAAATGGCTCTCTATAAGTTCAAGGACAGCCTGGTTTACGTTGTTGTCTCAAAACAATATAAAAATAAAATCATGATTATCGATGAGCTATAATAAAAGACATGATTCCCATATTAGTAACTATACATCGAATAAATAGTTCTTGCTAGGCCCTGCTGTTGAAACAATGCAGTTACATGGTGGTTGTATCAGTGAGCTTTTCTTACATTTTATGATTTTTGTTGATTGACATGGGGGGTTGTTTGTTTTGATGTTGGTTTTTTTTGCAATAGGGTTCCAGTATATTGCATGAGCTGGCCAACTCCTGATCATCCTGCCTCATGCTAATACACTCTGGATTACAGGTATATGTCAACACAACTGACTTAGTTGCTTAAATTTTTTTTTGGCAGAATTGGGATTGATCCCAGGGTATTAAACAAAAGCTCTCCCACTAAGCTCTATCCCTAAGCTATACCTTATTTCTTTACATTATTGTTTTGTATTTGTACAGTATGTGCTTGCCTGTGCATGAGGAGAAGGAGGAGAGGTCAATGTTGGATGTAACCAGATCCTCTTGCTTGCACTAAATCATTTCCTCAGCTCTCTTGCCCCATTCTACGATTTGAACTGACTTTTTTGTCTTGAAACTAATCTCTGATTTTATAGTGAAAATTTACAGGACTCTATTCAGTTTTAAAGTTTTTTTTTTTATTTTTATGTGTATGTGTATGTTCCCGCACGTAAATATGTGTACCATGTATCTGCTTGCTATCTGTGGAAGTCAGAAAAGTTCTTTGAATCTCCTGGATCTGGAGTTGCAGATACATATGAACCAACATGTGGGTTCTGAGAATTGAACCTGGGTCCTCTGCAGGAACAGAGTGTGCTCTTAACTCCCGAACCAACTTTTTATTCCCATTTGGTTAGCTTTGAAAAAGAATTCATTTTATAAAACAAATAATACTTTTGCTCAAAGGTTACAGAATTTTAGTATATATGGATAAGTAAAATTTAATTTTTATTATTTATGTTTGTGTATGGTTATGTGTGTGTGTGTTCCCGTGTCCATGCACATGCATGTCATAGCACATGTGGAAGCAGAGGACAGTTTTCAGGAGTCAGCTCTACTTTTTATAGTGTGTTTTGGAGCTGGAACTCAGATTGCTATGCTTTGGCAAACACCTTTAGCTGTGAAGACATTTCAGTGGTTCTGAAGAGTTAATTTTTAATAGTTCATCAGTTGTCTTTAACTATTGTTTGTAAAAACTTACTGTTTTAGAGGCCTGACTTTTGTCAAATAGTAGCATAGAGAGTGGCCAAAACACGGTCATGAAGTGTGTGATTTTCATAATGAAGGCCTAAGAGAAAAGAGAATAATTCCATTTTAAGAGATAAACTTTAGAGGTTGAGGACATACTGATTTCCCTTTTCCCCTTTACATATATTTTTCTTTTAAAATACAGAAAATATGAAGCAATCACATTGCCTTTCATTATCCTGTATACTAACTAACCTTAACAGACTGAACAGTCCCTGTGGACACCAAGACGCAGTATTTTTCTAGGATGTGTTATTAGCTTCAGAGCTAACAAAAAGAAAAAAAACTCTTATAAATAATTTAAATACTTGTGTTAAAGATTTTCAGTAAATATATAGATAAAAAGCCCAGAGGAATATATATTTGCAATTATGTGCAAACCTAAGTATATATTTAAATTGATGCTTTTTGATAATTCAATTTGGAATGTTGTATTGATAATGTAGATTGATTTGTAATGGTGGAATATAAAAATTACTGTTTCTTTCAAGTATTCACTACTGTAACCTCCAGTACATTGGCTGTTCATTTCTAACAAATACTTAGTGAATTTTACCCGATGAATTTTCAGGGTTTATAATGTCATGATCATATGTAAATTATTGATTACTGAACCATGTAGCATGATTACTCTTTCCATTTTAGACTTTTTTGTTTTGCTAAACTGAGCTTTTTAAAACGTGTTTATTTTTTCATGTTTTTTGTCATGAATTTGTCCTATAGCAAATCTCTCAGTAAGTAGTGTGTACTAAATATTTCCCTCTCAACTACATGAAAAACTTCTCCTGGAGCCTGTTGCTGTGCTTAGTCTAGACACGCTGACCAGTGGATGACGCTTCCACTGTTCATGTCTGACTTTCATGTGCAGATTCTCCATAGTCTTTATTACAGATTCCTGCCTTTAAGAATTCTTTGTCTTGTTTTATTGTTTCGTTTTTTTTGGTGGGGCATCATAACTCCCAAGGACCACAGGAAGGACGTTTTTGCTGTTTTTAACCTTGAGTGATTTTGGCTAGAAATTGAATTCTAGTTGGGAAATATTTTTCCCTCAAAATGCTGATGGCCATTGTTCTACTGTTTTAAGTTTCAGTACTTATGTTTTTCTCAGTCTTTGTCATCTTGTCTACCTTGCCTCTCTCTAGTCCTCAGAGCACTAAAGTCAGTATTTTCAGATTCATGATCCTGTGCCTTTTAAAGTTTGATTTCATCAGTCAGATGGATACCTGGTTCCCTTCCAATCTGGAAGTTATACCACTCAGTTCTGAGAAAATTCATTTCTAAATTATTCCATTGATTGATAATACTAATTGTAGAACTGCCTAAATTGAGTATTATCCCATCTGGAATAACCTTCATTTTTCAGATCCTCATTTTCCTGTGTATATTGTAGTTTGCTCTACTTTTTGGAGACAATCTCAACTTTATCTTTCAAGTTTTTTCAAATATTCTTTAGATTCTAGACCTTTTTTATTCTTTTATTTTTTTTCAGTAGATCCTGCTGCATTGATATATTTTCTTCTTCCTTCCTCCCTCCCTCCCTTCATTTTTTTCATTCTTGTATTTTTATTTGTTTGTTTGTTGAGACAGGTTTTTTTATGTGCCATACTGGCTGTCCTGGAACTAACTATGTAGACCAGGCTGGCGTCGAACTCACAGATTTGCTTGCCTCTACTTCCCAAGTGCTGGAATTAAAGGCCTTTGTGCTTGTTTCTTTTTTCTTTCTTCTTCTTCTTTTTTTAAATGAATAGCTTTTGTGTCCCCAGTTTTATTTTTTTCCAGCTATGGAAGCTTTCTTCATGAATGTTATTATTTTGCTTGGGGGTAAAGTGTGAAACTAAGTGCCTGACAGAAAACTGTGTGTTTGCATTTTTGACATTCCCGTAGAGTGAATGTGCTGAACTTTTGAGGACATTCTCAAATGTCATTACCTTTCTTTCACGCTAGTTGTATTTCACAAAATCTAAATTACTTCCTATACATACAAGGCCTTGTAGGAATCATTTCAAGAACAGAGTGGTAAAAGGTGATTTAATATTAATATTTGGTGTATCAGATATAGCTTCATCTAAGCATTGTTTCTCTTTTAGCTTGGGCCTAGTATCCAAATTTCTCCACAGAAAAAGCAAGTTCTTAGCTTCCATAAAGAAGGAACATCACATGTCAGAGCAGAGATATGGAGGACTTTGTGCCTCCTCCTGTTTCCAGAATAGCTGATAATGGTAATTTCTGAACAATTTAAGTTCCTGTAATAGAAATCAAGTGTTTTTTTTTTCCATTGCTAACATGGGAAAAACTTACTTTTTCAGTTACCACTTAACTTTCAGACTTGTAAATCTTACTTTTGTTACTTCCTCGTGTATTCTCTGCTCTTGTGAGTTTATACTCCCCTTCACCTTTAACTTTTATTATGGTCAGGTTTTGAATAGAAGCCAAAGTTAATAGGTGTATTCGACATACTGCTCAAAGTAGAAATTGCCCTTTACTGAAAAGTAATATTCTTAGTATTTATTTTCTATTTCATCGTTTATTCATGATGATGTTTCATATTCTGTCTACCTGTTTTCTCAAAGTCATCACGTATTTGAAAGGATATAATTATTTCCTGTCATTTTTAGAGGTCTTCTAATATTTAATCACTTGTACCTTTCTAAGCAGTTGTTATACTTATTAAGATTTTTAAAGAGAAGATTATTACATCCAAGCAAGAAGGAAAAAGCCAAGTAGAGTAAGATTCTTTTCGAGTTACTGAAGCCTGTTTGCTCTTCGGTGATAAGAATTTATTATTTTTCAGTGCTGGTATGTTCTTGTCCACCCATTCATTGCTTTCAATTTGTTGATATGTTTAGCTTTATTTCTCTTCTTTTTGTCTTTTCATGTTTGCTAGAAAAAGTTACTTGCCTCCTAGATTTTATGCATTATAAGTTTTATATGAAATACATTTTTATCACTCTTTTAGAGCCAGAATTTGAATTAAGCTACAATGTACTCCACATCATTAGCTATAAAAAGGGGATGCCTAGGTTATTTATGAAAGCTAGCTTACCTGTACTTAATGATCTCTAGGAACACTTGGGCAGCCTCTTTGGTACTCTTAGTACTGATGTCCTCAGTGGTATGCACACATGAGTGAGGAGGGCTAAGTAATGGAGAAGTGCTAGTTTTTCAGCCATATGGGATAAGGATAGTTAAAGAAAGGAAGTAGGCTACACAAAACTAACTAGTATCGGTGAAGAGTTGCTGTTGAACCAGAAGCAAATGAGGGCCCATGCTTTTAATCCCAGCTCTACAGAGGCAGGCGAATCTGTATGAGTTTGAGGTCACCCTGATCCTCATGTGTTCCAGAACAGCCAGGAGTAAATAGAAAGAACCTGTCTCAATAAACAAAATACGGATGAAGAATAAAGTGGAGTCAAGGTAGAGCTGTGAGCCATTTGGGAGAAGGAGCTAGGGGTCATGTTATATTTATCACTTAGTAATTGTTTTCTATAGTGTACTAAAAGAAATTACAAAGATTAGAAATATCTTTCTTAATGAATTGTAGAATTAAAAGCAGCATATAGTACAGGTTCTCCTTTCAACCTATCTGCAGTGTTACTATGTTTAAAGTTGTAGCCCACACTGTCTACAGGTCTCTCCACACATGTGTGTTTTTAGCTAGGGGAGATCAACAGAGAATGAATGTTAAGATTGTGATGTCACACAAATCCCCAGACAAAAATATGTCTTTCATTGTTGATTTAAAAAGAAGACAGAAGCCGGGCGGTGGTGGCGCACGCCTTTAATCCCAGCACTTGGGATGCAGAGGCAGGCGGATCTCTGTGAGTTCGAGACCAGCCTGGTCTACAAGAGCTAGTTCCAGGACAGGCTCCAAAACCACAGAAAAACCCTGTCTCGAAAAACCAAAAAAAAAAGAAGAAGAAGAAGACAGAAAAAGGGGGGGGGGCAGTTAAATAAGGCCATTTCTTTAGTTTTTTTTTTTCTCAATTTGAAGGTTATTTTGAATTCTGTCTTTTGAAAGAATTAATAACATCAGGAAGAAATAGAGTTTCCACTAGCTGGTGTATGTATTTAAGAACCTTTACACAGAAAAACCAAATCTGAACACAAAGCAATGATGCTGTTACAGAATTCATGTTCTTCTTATAAGAAGTTTCCAGTACAAGTTTAGGAATTTTGGCTTATTATGGGCAGTGAGATAAAAGTATGCTGTACATATTTTGGTTTTGTTAAATAAAGTCCAGAAGTAATTTTGTCCTTCAATATTTTAGATATTTATACCACAATACAGTACATTTAAAGTGAGAGATCAACAGTTAGCAGTTAACTTTGTTTCTTTTCTTAACTACTGTGTGATTTTTGAATTTTAAAAGTTAAATAATAAATAACTTACATTGGAAATTATATTTAAAAGCTGTTTAATAATAGTCACCCAACTTCAGAAGTTTCAGCTAGTAATTTTTTTAATCTTGTAAATTTGTTTTAAGGTTAAAATTACTTTAGATTAACATTTAAATTAACATTTAAAATAAAATTATTAAAAATTTGATTAGTAGATGAAAGCTTTGTATATCACTATAACTTGATTTGTAAAGTGCTGTTGGCCACTTCCTAGGTTTATACTATTTCTGCAGTAGACAGTGTGAAAATATGATCATGTTAGTCACTAAAGGCAAGAATTGCTCTGCAGATTTAACCAACTGAATTTCTTTAGTTCAGCAACAACAACCAGACCTTAAGTATATAAGATCTTACCTTTCCTTTGTCTTTTTTGTATCTGAGACGGGTGTGCTCAAGACATCTATTCTGGTTCTTCTACGCCATCAGAAAAGCCTGTGTCACATGATCACGTTTCACTTTGTCTTAACCTTTGTACCCAGTGAACAGGTGATTAAGAAGCTGGTATTCCTTAGCAAAAGATTGACTAGAATTTCTTAAAGACATCCTTGACTTTTTTAGTGTAACAAATAGCAGTTTTTTTTAGTTTTTGTATTTTGTTTTAAAATTTTATCAAAATATTAACAATTTTGTTTCATGACTTAAAGAGTATAATATTGAGAGTATTTTGAACCACGTTTCTAAAGCAGTGTAGGCAAAGCTATTTTGTATTTTGTTAGATTCAAGTATACCATCAAGTTTTATATTCCACTGCCTTTCAACATTGTTGTTTGCTTATTTTTATGGCACCTTGCTTTTATTGTCACTTTACTGCCAGGCTATAGCAGGGGCAAAGTGCTCAAGCCATCTAGAAACCTGACAGCCATTATATGCCCTCAGAAAATAATATGTGCCTTCCTTGTGATGCAATCTTAACCCTCTATAAATAAAATACAATGTTAGCTTTCATCTCACTACAGTGGACAGCGGAAGAAACAGTGTTTGTTGAGTAATGAAATGTAGAATAAGTTTTTCCAAAAAGATAGCTCCTTGGTTGGTGTCTTAGTAAATTAAAAAAAACAAAGGTTGAAATAAATGACACTTTCTGCTTCAGATTTCTGTGAACTCATGTGTACTCACCTAAATTTTGGCAGTAGAAATCCCATTGTTACATTTTAAGGAAAAATATCAGTGCCTGTTCAACAGTGAGGCAAAAGTAAATTGGAATTCCCATTGTCTGTTACATTACCTTCATATTTTATTTGGTTATTCTGAGACGTTTGTAGGAAATGTTCTAAGTTTAGGTCCTTTTGCTAGTTGTAGGACATGAGTGTACAGAAGGTATCTGGATCTAATGCAGTTAGCTATTAATTGATTAAAGACAGTACAAATTATTATCTATGAGTGAAGGCCGTAAATAATGATAGGTTAATCAGATTTTTGAAAACCAGTGAGAAATTCATGATCTGGGCACTAAAAATTTATGTTGATCAAACTTACTCTTTCGACTTTTCTTCCTTTTGTGACAGGTTCTCACTGTGCGTTCCTGTCTGGCCCAGAATTCCCTATGTAGACCAGGCTGGTCCTGAACTCAGAGATCTGCCTGCCTCTGCTGCTTAAACTGGGGATTAAAGGCATTGGCCACTATACCTAACAAATAAATTCTGTCAGCTTTATTTAACGGAATGACTCCTGGTAGGTCAACCATACTCTAGAAGGACAGGCTCCACTCCCAAGAGAATTGCACAGTACAAACTGCCTTGGGCTGGGGGCAGGAGAGAGAACTCAGAAGTTGGGGAGAAGGAGCTATGTGAGAGTAGAGAGGGCAGATATGGGAGGAATAGTGTAGGGATCAAAATACTGTATATGATCCTCAAAGAATTAATAAAAATACTATTTTTTTAAAAAGGAACTTTCTGTAACCTATTAGTAATTGACTGTGTAGAAAATAAGATACAGGGTACACTAGTATTTCTTGTGATTATATTATTGCATTATTAGGGTGGCTATTATTAAACAATGGTTATATTTTCAGGAAATTAATGTATTATGGTGCCAAATATGCTTGTTAAATACCCATTTGTCTTAGTTAGGATTTTTGTTGTTGTGAAGAGACACCATGACCATGGCAACTCTTAAAAGAAAACATTTAATTGGGGTGGCTCACTTACAGTTTCAGAGGTTCAGTCCATTATCACCATGATGGGGAACATGGCAGCATGCATGTAGACGTGGTGCCTGGAGCTGAGAGTCTTACATCTTGCAGGCAACAGGAAGTCAACTGACTGTCACACTGAGAGAAGCTTGAGGAAAAGAGACTTCAAAGCCCGTCCCCACAGTGGCACACTTCCCAACAAGGTCATACCTTTCTTAACGGGCCGTTTTCTTTCAAACCACCACACCATTGTATTTAAAGCAATAGGTAAAAGCACATTTAGGCAAAGTATGTTACTGATCTTATGGTATAATTTCTTTTTAAGTTTTTATTAGAACTTTATTGTTGTTGTTGTTGTGTGTCCGTGTGTGTAAGAGTGCTCAGTTGACATGGAGAGTGTGGATTTGGTCTGCCCTTCTTTGGGTTCCATGGATTGAAAGATTATCAGACATGTGCGGCAAGCACTTAGACTCCCTGAACCATCTCATTCAACCTGTGATTTTCTTTTTTTTAAAAAGATCAAATTGTGGGGCTGCACAGTGGCTTAGTGGTTCAGAGCAATGTTCTTACTGAGGATTGGTGTTTGATTCCCAGCACCCACTGACTCAAACTCTCTAACTCTAGTTCCAGTGATCTGACACCCTCTTCTGACTTCTGCGGGCACCAGACATACACATAGAGCACGTACATATATGTGTCAGAACACTCATTCATGTAAGATAAATAAATCCCAAAAAAGTATTCATATTGCACTGTAGCTCTCCATATTGGCCAGTTCAGTCAGAGCGGCCTTGCTTTAAATGATTCATGTAGTAACTTTCTATACAGAGCTTGGCCTGATCAGAGAAGGCTGTGACTAATGACTGAAAGTCACCATTGTAAGACGAGTATGATCACCAAAAGATTGTGAACCTCATATGTACATAGGCCTGAGAGATTGTGTGCGATAATCTTTTTTTCATTCATACATTTAAGTGGAGAATAAAGAAACTGGATTGGGGAGGCAGAAGAGAAAAGTCTGTGCTAAGGGGATCAAGTTTTATATACATTTTTTTTTTACAAGATAAGGACTTTCACACATTGAGGTTGATTTTCTTTTTAAGTATCTCTAAATAAAATTATTTGATTCCCCTCCCCCCTCGATATACTAGCAGGAACATTTCATGCTCTTGATTTCAGGAAAGAAAAACAAATCCGAAGTGTAGAAGAAGAAGTTGAGCAAGAAAAGCAAGCAGCAGATGGCATTATCAAAAATATGTCTCCAGAAAAACAAGTCAAGTACATAGAAATGAAAACCACAAATGAGAAACTGCTGCAGGTAATATTACCCTGGACGGTGTCAATTGTCTTTCCTCCAGTCTTACCTTCCCTCCCTCTCTCCATCTTTCTCCCTTTGCTCCATTTCATGTATATGTAAGTCTTGAGCATAAGAACATGTAGGCAAAAGGGGTGAAAATGTGGCTAAAGATTAGAATTTTAAATCTTGATTTTAAGTGATGGCATGAGTTTGAAGGTTTCTGATGATGACTGTGATCAGAACACTGATAGGATAGCTGTGATGGACTTAGGAAGTTGTTTACTGTATGATGACTGTGATCAGAACACTGATAGGATAGCTGTGATGGACTTAGGAAGTTGTTGACTGTATGATGATGACTGTGATCAGAACACTGTAGGATAGCTGTGATGGACTTAGGAAGTTGTTGACTGTATGATGACGGTGATCAGAACACTGATAGGATAGCTGTGATGGACTTAGGAAGTTGTTGACAGTGTGATGATGACTGTGATCAGAACAATAAAAAGGTAACTGTGATGGACTAAGGAAGTTATTCGTAGTGTGAGGGAAGGATTGTAGAACTAATGAAAAGAACTATTCCAAATAGGATAAAACCTTGGTAAGCTGTAGGCAATATGAAAAGATAGAAATTGAATATATTTACAGAATTTATTACATTTGTAGGTGAGTTATTAAAAAAATGAAGAAAAATTATTACTTTACATTTGTCTTTTCCCCTTAGGAATTAGATACACTGCAGCAACAACTAGATTCACTGAACATAAAGAAGGAGAGCCTAGAAACCGTGAGTATGAGTCATGGGAGCACTTTCCTGCCACCGAGCTCTGAGAGATAATTCAGGGCAACATTGACCGCACTCATGCACGCAGCAGTTTACTAACAAAAGTTCAGTGTATTTTCTTCCCATTCTGGACCACAGAGGTCTCAGATGGGCAAGAAATACATTATTTTTGTATTATTTTTTTTAGTAACTACTGTATACAAAGCAAATCACTGCCCTACAGTACTATGCAAAATATATATATATAACAGCAGTTTAGATACACTATAAGAGACTAAAGCCATATAAAGAGGAGGGAGGTAAATCATTTGAGGGTTTAACAGTGGATTTTCCTTTTTCTTTTTTTAATTTTTATTGATTCTTTGTGGATTTCATGTCATACATTCTTATCCCACTTATCTCCTTGTTTCTGCTTTTTTTTAAAAAAAAGTTTTAGTTCACAAAATAAAGGCATGTATATGGTTTTAAAACTGAAAAAAAAATATGGCATAAAAATCTTTGTTTCTTACCCCTTTCAGGCAGAACTACCTTGACATTTATTTCTTCCTTACCTAATTTTGTGAACTCTTTGTGCATATCACCAGTATGTTTATTTAATCTTCACAGCTATCTTGTAATCCTATTTTTTTTAATTGTGGAAAACTTCAAATGGGTTTCATGTTTGGAGTTGTGATATGGCACCTGTGGGGGACCCTGTCCTCCCCCCCCCACACACATTAATACCATCTTCTTGACTGTGTTTGCATAACTTTAGAGCTATTCTTCATTATTTTAAATTAGAGCATTGTATAATATTTATGATTAAAACAGCCTTGCAAATGAACAGATTAGTTGTTTTCAGGGGTTATTAATAATCTCCATTGAAAATGTACATTTTTAAGAAAATATTTATTTTATGTGTAGGAGTGTTTTATCTGAATGAATCTATGTGCATGCATGCCTGCTACCTGCAGAGGCCAGAAGCAGAGTATATAGTTCCACAGATCAGTTGCTCAGTAAACAATAGGTTCAAATGTCAATATATTCATCATTATTGCTGCAGTCACTCTAGTTCTTTTTATCTAAAAGAATTTGATAGCATCTGTTTTATTTTAGTGTTGTGTGTGTGTGTGTGTGTGTGTGTGTGTGTGTGTGAAAGCGGAACTGTGGTAAACACACAGCAACTGCTTGCTGTACCTGCATTCGTTTTCTCGGTGTTCCTGTGACAAGCGGTCTCAGTCTGGGTTAATAAAGCTATAAACATTTA